GGTAATTTTCAGAAATACGAAAACTGCGATATTTTAGTAACTACTGGAGTTATTCACTCAAAATTGACATTTATAATAAGTTTTAGACGAAAAATAAGAATATTAAAAATTTTTGGAAAATGGGCGTAGCCACGCCCACTTATGGTTATATGTGTATATCTTGGTAACCGCTGCACCAATTTCTTCCAAACTTGGCACAGTTGTTGGGCTTGGTACGGCATAAAAAACCGCCGAAACCTTTTAAAATCGGACAATAACCACGCCCACATCCCATATAACGGTAATTTAGAGAAATACAAAATCTTCGATAAATCATTAAATATTGAAGCTAATTTATTCAAAATTTATGCTTGCAACAATTCTTTACCAAGAAATACGTTTATGGTAAAATTTTGGAAAATGGGCGTGGCACCGCCCACTTATGATCACATATATGTATATCGGTAACCGTTCTACCAATTTGTACCAAACTCGGTATGGTTATTGTACTTGCCACGTGTAAGCAAAACTTTGAAAATTATTGAAATCGGACTAAAATAACGGCCGATTCTCATATAACGGTAAATTTAAGAAATGCTTGAAACTTCAATATTTCGAAATTGAAGGACGCTAATTTACTCAAAATTGATACACCTCGGCTTACCATCTAGCGGAAGGTTTCGGAAGGGTGAAAAAACATATATTTAATACTTGCGCCGGGTATTTAATGTTCGGCCCCGCCCGAACTTAGACTTTCTTACTTGTTTCTTAGTGATCTTATGTTCAGATAGATACATGTTAAACTTAAGTCCCTACGGTTACTGACATCAATTTCATTATAGCTTGATTTATTTAGAGCAGTGGTGCACAGCGTTGGCAGAGCTCCCAATACAAGCGCAATATTTTTGTATCTGTATGTGTGTACTCAGCAAAACAGCTCGAGCATGTGATGCTTACAGCATGAAGTACAAACGCAAACTGACCGGCTGCTAGCGGCGCATAAGTTCGGTAGCTGCGCACACACGACTTGAATGTGAAAGCCGAGTAGCTCCCGGAGACTCCCGTTTGTCTAGGTTCAGACGGAGAAACTTTTGTTGCTCATTTTCGTCGATTTCTCTTTTGGTGTTGCCCATCGCTTTCACACAGAGCAACTCTGAGCTGGCAATTTTCTGACATTTCCGCTTATATCATATTCGCAAATTTCTGTACGCATCGTTTACCCGGCACCAACAAACTCTGATAAAATTTGTGATTATAAATAAGTAAAAAGTGAGTTGAGAAATAAAGTTTTTAAATAAATTTTCG